CTGCCTGCTGAAATTCCTTCCGTCTCAAAGAGTCGGGGAGGCTCTTACCCCAAAGCTGAGTTGAAATTCAGTGTTTTCCTAGAGCTGGGTCTGAGTAATCCAGTCTAGAGAGAAGCCGGGAGCCTCTCCAGGGTTTTTCCTGCGCTCAGGCATCCCGTACGCACGGAGGCGAGACACCCTCTGATCAATAAAACAGCCCCCGAGGCCGCAGGCAGTTTGGGGTCCGGGGCTGAGCCTGCCCGTGCTGCCTGCGAGACGCAGGGGAGCCGAGAGGGGACCGATCACCCCGACAGCTCCGAGGGACCCGAAGGAATTTCTCAGGCAGGCACTGCAGCTTTTTCCTTTGCACGTTACTAACCTTAATTGAAAAAAAAAATTCTCATTTTTCTTTTCTTTTCTGTCTTTGTTGCTATTTTCCCCCGCCCCCTGCACTCCACTTGGTGTTTCGCGCTCGCTCTCTGCATGATGCAGGACGGGGCTCTTCACGCCCGACATGGCCTTTGAAGCCATAGTGAAAAAACAGATTGTAAAGCTTAAAGAGCCCAGTTTGAAGTGTGTTGATCTGGTGGTCTCAGAGCTGGCCACGGTCATTAAAAAGTGTGCCGAAAAGGTAACGGGTCTTAATTCATCCCTTTTTGTCTAATCTGAACATCTGGAATATATTTGCTCCCAGGACCCAGCCGACCAAAGTGAGTTCAACCACAAGAATGTCACTGATTTTGGGGGACGCCGTGTCCTTCTGACACCCGAAAGCTGGAAATGCCGGCAAATACAGACATAGCGTTAACTCGGCTTCGCGGCACGGGCCCTGCCGAGACATATTGCACAGGTGTTTGCTCGCCCCCGTAACAGCTAAAAACTCCTCGCATTGCTGAGATCCCACCTCCCTTGCCGTGCTTAGCCGTAGTTCGCGCCTTGTGCCGTGAAAACCCGGATCTGCTTAGCCGTGGGGTCTGAGGGTGGGAAGAAAAAAATCTGGATTCGTGTTTGGCATTGCTTCGAAGGCCCCCGGGAAGGGGATTCTGCTGATCTTGTCGGATCTAGTGAAGAGAATCAAGTCTGTCGCTTTTTCCACCCCTGAGCCCCAGTTGTGTCCTCCCGGCAGAACTGGGGCTCAGTCCCGTCTGTCCTCCGTCCCCTTCGTGAGCGTCTCCTGTCGCTGGCTTTCTGCGGTGAGCGCTGCAGGCTGCCACGGTCCGATCAGCAGCGGTTTTTCCCCGGCCTTCTCCTTTTCTTTTCAGCTTGGTTCCTACCCCAGGTTACGAGAGGAGACGGAGAGGATCGTTACCACTCACATCAGGGAACGGGAAGGCAAAACGAAGGACCAGGTGAGCTCACGCGATCTTCGGCTTGGCTAGAGAGCAGGGAGAAAGCCGAGCTGCTGGCTGCGAGGACGAAGCAAACCCTGGCCATGCAGCCGGTCCTTGGACCCCGGCCACCCCGCATCTCCCCACTCGTGATCCCAAAGCTCCCTCTCGCGGCGGCGACGCGGCGTGCTGTGGCTCTGGCATCTCCTGCGTGGTCACCGATGTCCCCGAGCGCAACCCTGGGGCTCCGCGGCGCCTCTGAGCGAGCTGTGGGTGTTCAGCCCTCCCTGCGGGACTCCTAACGTGTAAACCTCCTTCCAGATCCTCCTACTGATCGACATTGAGCTCTCTTACATCAACACTAACCACGAAGACTTCATTGGATTTGCCAAGTAAGTAATTTACCGGCGGGATGGGTCCTCAAACTCTTTTTATAAATGAGGTTCGTGGTCCTGTCCCCAGTTTGCAGAGGGGGCGTGCGGGTTACGTTACCCTTTTGGGGTCACCGACGGGAAAACTGGTGGAGGAGTCTCCCACGTCCCAACATAATTCACCAAAACCGTACTTGGCACCTTTTGCACCCGAGTCCTCTCAGATTTGGGATACGGGAGCTCCGCTTCTCTGCTTGCCACCTGGCCAGTGTTTGAGGGCCTGGAGATCTGAGCTACCCCACATCATTCCTCAGACTTTAGCCCGAAGCAGGGTTTGTTAATGCTGCTTGTTAGGGCAGAGAGCGTGAAAAGCTGGAGTCGGGTTGTTCAGCCTCAGACAGATGAACTGCTTAGTGCCCGCTCACGGGAGCGCTTACGATGAATTAAGGTAATTAAGGCGGCTGCTGCCCTTCAGCAGAGACTTGGGAATTTTCTGTGCCCCCTGGGTGCACTAAGGGAAGGTGAAATGACTCTCGTCCTGTCCCAGCGGAGCTGGAGGGGGAATGTCTCCCCGTCCTTTGAGCTCGTCCCTCGTAATCCTCTGCCCGGGCAGGCGAGGCCAGGACCAGGAGCGGGGCTCTCCTGTTAGCCTGTCTTCCCTCAGCTTCGGCTTTCGGCCAGAGGATGGCTAGCGTTTTCCATCGATGCAGCCCCGAATCGGGCGATACCTTTTCGGAAGTGCCCAGAGGTCTAGCTCAGGTGTCCCCGCACAGAAAGAGCGGAGGCGGGCGGCTCTGCCCGGAGCTTGTCACCGTCTTCGCCAGCCAGAGCCCACGCCACCTCCTCCTCTTTAAATTCACATAGTCGTCGTCTTGTTTTCTTTTCCCCCCACGCTTTTTTTTTTTATGTCTCTGCGTTTCACCTTCATTCACAGTTCCTTCCTCTTCTCCTAATCTCTCCTGTTTTTCCTTTGAACCATCATCTCACTTCGCCTGTTTTTCCTTGGAACCATCATCTCTCTCTTGCCTCCGGATTCCTCTGAACCTCTCCCACTCCCCAGCTGTTACACTGAGCAGCACATGACGACAGGGTGGGTACCCGCTCAAAACAGCATGTCCTGGAGTGGCTGGGGCAGCCCCGCTTGCACCTTCCCCTCCCCGCAGCCCGGAGGGACGTTTGATGAGAGCTGGAGAGGCTTCTCCTCCAAGCTCAGCTTTGGATTTGCGCTTGCGGTGGAGCTCAGCCACGGGAGAGCTTCCCGTTCCCATCCGGGATACCACGACGCTTGGGCTGGCTCAGACCAGGCGCCCGGCTTGTGTCCCGAGGGTGTAGGGAGGAACCGTGAGGATCAGGGCAGGCAGAGAGCCATCTCCCAAATTCCCCCAGCCAGCAGGTCAGGGACGTCCTGGGTCGGAGGGACGGTGGCTGCTGTCAGTGCGGTCCCGCAGGGAAAGGACCCCGTTTGTGCTTGTAAACTGCTGCTCCGTGGGGTGTCCCGGCATTATTCTAACTGTTTTCATGGATTTTGTTCCTGCTCCTGACTAACGGTTACGTCCCGCACTTCGCCCCTCGTCTCTTTGGTTGCTCAGGAGAGACAGGTAGCTTTCCCTCTGGTGCAGGTATGCTCTTTTCCAACCTGGGGGGGGGAACTAGGAGGCTGCAGGTGTTTCTGGAGACGAGTTCTTCTGGTTATCGGCCTTGCGGTGGTAGGGGTGCATCGGCTCGGCTGGGTTCCCGGACAGAAATCCCTTTTGAATCGGCAACCGCTGCTGATCTGCTTGGTGTTTCCTCTCCTGCAAGTTATAACCTTGCTCCTCTGGAACAGGCAGGCTTGTAAATGCCTGGAGATAAGGACTGTAAGGAAGGAGATAAAGCTGTCCGGGTTGGAAAGCCCCGTCCCCCTCCCTCGGTACTGCTGTCTCGTGTACGTTCAGTCCTGGGCAAAACTCTGGCAGGGGCTCCTCTGTCCGCATTGCAACGGAGCACGGAGTCTGGGTGGTCTTGATTGAATTTTACATGTCGGGCTTCCCCTTTTGGACTCAGCTCTTCCTTACAGCATTCCGGGTGGGAAGCGTGTCGTGGCCGCGTGGGCTCTGAGCGCTCGTCGCTTTGCTTTGCCTTCCCCTGCCTA